TTCCCACAGTCCATATCCGAGTCCAAGCCTCCTCCAGGTTTCACTTTCGCTTTCAATCTCCTAGCTTCCCCGCCATAGTCCGCATCCGAGTCTATGAAAGCTTTCACTTTCACTTTCAATCCTAACTTCTTTCCCACAGTCCATATCCGAGTCTATGCCTAGGCTTTCAATAGCTTCTTCCGGCACCTAGGCTCTTTGCTAGTCTCTCTCTCTAGTATTTTCCCACTTCTTCCCGTTTCTTCCCTCCTAAGTTTCCTATCCGAGTCACGGCACCATTATGTCGCTCCCCGTCTTCGTGGAGGAACGACACAGGACCCTGCGTTGTTCTTTCGTCTGCTCGGCCCTCCCCGGGTTGGCTGCTGGTTCTTCCCGGGTTGGCTGCTGGTCCTTCCCAGGTTGGCTACCGTCCCTTCCACCTCCGTGGAAGGGCAGTTCCCCCTGCCACATTCCCCACTTCTGCAGGGGAGCGGCACACCGCCGGCCGGCTCTCTCGGGGGCTGTACAGGTGTTCCTTCAGATAGATGTTCCCCTTAGATGTTCCTGGTGCATGCCGTCTCTCTCCTCCTTTATAGTCCTCCTCCGCCAATCCCAACTCGGCTGCCCACACGCCGAGTACGCTGCTCTCCTCCAATCAGGAGCAGGATCAGCTCCTGGAGGTCATCACTCAAGTTGGCAAGAGGCAGCTGCGTAGAAGCTGTTTTCTCCTCTCCCAGCGCCATATTGTGGGAGAGCAGATGCATAGAATAAGTCTTAATTCCAGTAACTTAGTCTAGTCTGAGTTGCTCCCAGTTGCTCCCCACAGCCCAGAAACCATCACAATGGCTCAAAGCAGTCACACACTCTTAGTGTACCTCCCCGCCTGGCTCATCATTCCCTTGAACCCCAACGAAGGCTGTGGCCCACCCTCTGCCTTCCTTCGGCCTCTAAACTGACCCTGGCCCTTCCCTATCTGGCCCTGTGTGCAGTTCCTCTAGGTTCTAGGGTCTGTTGAGTAGAAACTCCTACCTTCACGACAATCATTTCTGTCTTCTGTCTTGCCGTACTCTGAGTACATTTTAACTATCAACAGGAAATAAAGTTGAATTCCTGGGGAGCCATCTGTCCAGGTCTTTCCTATAGAACGTTCGATTTAACTGTTCTGTGGTAGGGGACTCAAATGCTCTAATGTAGAGCCATGGGAGGACACTCGGGACCAGTGCTCTGAAAGAGTTACCCAGGGACCGGCAGTGACCGCATCACCAGGGGGCTGGTTAGATGTACACATTCTTGATCCCTACCCTAAATCTCCTAATTCAGAAATTCTGGAGATGAGGTGGGGCCATAAAACTGCTCTATCAAGTTCTCTGGGTGATGCCAACAGATACTGGAGTTTGCCCAATATTGGGGCAGAGAGGTCAAAGTGGGCCAGTGAGGGCGAGGGCACGGAGCCTGCCCGTGACGCCTATGTTCACTGCTTTGTCCTGGCGCTGGTCACAGCTTCTGTCCCTGAACTACAGGGAAGGAAACACTGATGCTAAGATGGCTGCACTTAACCTTTGTATGCCTGTGTCCTCTTTCTCATAATTTCAATATAATTAAAAACCTTGAACACATTATTTGTATTCTAAACATTTCTTTGGTAAGAATAAAAACTCGGGAAAGTGTCCACTCATGCTAGGACTTGCTGTTTTTGCCTGGACAAGCTTAGGACTGTGCACAAGCTGTACCCGAAGACACATCAGGGGAAACCAACACTTCTAAGCTTGACACAATGAAAATCAAAAGATTTCAGTTTTAAGAATAGTCCAGGCTGATGGCATTTTATTTCTGGAAGGCCCTTATTGGTCAAACATTTAAGATCATCTTTAAAGTATCAAGTGGAATTGCAAGAGACTGGAGAGCTCTCATTTCCCAAGAGAAGGCTGTCATCTTTCTTGTAGCTTTCTGTTGCCAACTCGCACTGAGGCCCACAGGTGACCAGATGCACAATGTGAAGAAGCCTAATAATGAGGCTAAATTAGCAAGTTCCTTGAGAGCTGCAACTGATCTTAGAGGTCTAAGTCAATCCTAGCACAGTGCCTGGCACACAGGGAACACACAGGAAATGTATGTGGAGTGAGCAACATGGAAACGTCAAGGGATGCAGGTCTTTTCCCTTACATTTGCAGATGCCACCGTGAGAACCAGATCTCTAAGGACTGGGCTGACAGGCCCCTGACTGCTGTACTCAGAGCCTCCTATTGGCCACAGTGAATGCTGGTCAGAGCGACCCAGGTGTCAGTGCGAGTGTGAGCTGTAGGCATGGACAGCATATGACTGCTTCTGTTCTTGGAAGGGAATGCCTTTGTTAGTAGTTAGGAAACAGACGTGAATGTTACAGGCACATCAAGTTATAGAAACACCTAGAGATTCCCTGAAAGTTCACTTCTGATGAATAAAAAACACAGTTGGAAAGAGTTTTGGATACCACCCCCCCCCATGTGCGTTTTAAACTTTTTGCTTCATAAATAGACGTGCCAATCATATCTAATCAGCTTTGGAGTGATAAACTCTATTTTGTTACGGAAAATGGTGACTGGAATCCTGAACCGAAGTTATTCAAAGGTCAACTTGAGCTTCAATAACCAGAAACATTTTGGTAAATACCTGTTTTCCCGCTTACAGGCACATTTTAAGTCTGGCTCAATGAAGAAGTACTTCCTTTGGTCAGCTGGCCTAAGAGCATTAAAAACCAAAAAGGCAAAGGGGAAAACCTTCGACTTCTCTATTTTTTTTAAAAAACAATTTACTTGAAAGGAAGAATAAGACAATCTTCCATTGCTGGTTGACTCCCCAAATGGCTGCAATGGCCAGGCCAAAGCCAGGAGCTTCCTCCCAGTCTCCCATGTGGGTGCAGGGGCCCAAGCACCTGGGCCATCCTGGTGCTTCCCCAAGAGCATTAGCAGGGAGCTGGATGGGAAGTGCAGCAGCCAGGACAGGAACCAGTGCCCACGTGAGATGCTGGTGTCGCAGGTGGCGGCTTTACTCACTTGTCAGTATGCAGGCCCCCTTCTCTGTAAATGCTTTAAACCTCTATACAGAAAGTCAAGAAGGCATGGACCCTTGATGGTGAGGGCAGCGCACCTGTTGGGGGCAGCAATGGGTGGTTTATCGGTTCCTCCTCTCCCCTCCTTACTGGTGGGAATAGAAACCTCTGCCTCAGCGTAAAGGGCCAGGACATAAGAAATCTCGTACTGGCTAAAGAAAGGTATGGAAAGGATTCTGGCTCTTTCTTGAGGAAACTACCTCAAGTGGCTGGGAATTATTCCTTCATTTGAAGGAAGTGTCACCAACCACGCAAGGATGTTCACAGCTGAGTTGGCTGTGATTTGTCTGCACGTCCTGAGGACACAAACCACAGGGCTGGCTCTCTAACACCGCCACCACAGGCACTCTTCCCGGGGCTGGTCATCCACAACCTCACCTGGAGCCATGCCCAAAAGCAGGGTCTCCGTGTGACGCGGAGTGTGATGCTCCGGAGATCACTACCTCTGTGGGAGGCGCTCCTCCAGGTGCAGCCCAGCTCCAAGTGCCTGCTCTACCCCAGCCCTCAGACCGGGCTGAGAGTATTCTCGGGCACAGCGTGATCCTTTACAACTGGATTTCTCCATTCGCAGTGGACTGTGTAGAAGACGGAGCCCAGCCAGGCTTACCCAACCCAGGGGCACACTCATTAGATCAGCTCTCTGGTGAATGTATCTCATGGGTCAAGAGCATTTGTGTTTGGTGCCTTTTAGTGGCCACCACTTTAAAGAAAATTGCCATGTTCTCAATCAAGTCTGCACTTGATGAATCTCCGAGTTGAGTGGTGCCTGGTGCAATGACACGCTTCACAGGAGACTGACGTGAGCGGTGGAGGAGTAGCTCTTGAATGACCACATTTTCTCCACAGGACACTGATGGGAGCAGAGAGAGTTCTACCAACGTCCTACTGTAGCCTTGGGCTGAAACCAGGGAACAACTCTATTTTTGTTTCCTTATGTTTGAGACAGTCTTGAAGGCTTGAAAATGTCTTTAATGCTGTTTCACTTTGAAAAGCGGGACAGGACTTTAGCTCTAGAAGGGTGCTGGTTTGACAAACAAGGACACAGACCCTGGAGGGCCACTACTGCAAAGCCCTATGTGGTGGGTGGTGAAGTTCCAGGCCCCAGGCCCCAGGCCCGGGTTGCTGGCACTCTGCTGCAGACCACACTCCTCCAGTGGCCAGGCTGCTGTCTGGATTTGCTCCCAGCAACACCACACGTTCCAGCAAATGAAATGGTTAGGAAGAGTCACTCTCTAATTAACCTTCTTGTGGTGCCTCTAGGAACTCCTGTCAACATGGCCCCCAAAAGTCAAAATATTTGAGGTTTCTGCCAGAGTGACAGAAGAAAACTAAGTCCACCAAGTATACTATTTCTCAGCACTTGATGATTTTAGGTGTTCATCACAAAACTTTAAACAATTTTTATATATATTTGAGAGGCAGAGAGAAACTGTGTGTGTGTGTGTGTGTGTGAGAGGGCTCTGGGCTAGCTCCTACCCTAAACGCCTGCAAAGGCTGGGACTGGGTTGTTCTGGACTGGACCAAAGTAGGGAGCTGGAAGCTCAACCCACGTCTCTCACGTGGATGGCAGGAACCCAACTACTTGGACCATCACCTGTGGCTTCCCCAGTGTCTGTCTATGCTGGCAGAAAGATACAGTCAGGAGCTGGAGTTGGATATTGAACTCGGGTACTCCCATAGGGGACATGGATATCCTAACCGGAGTCTTATCAGGCCAAAAGCCTGCCTCAAAACTTTTAACAATAAACAAGAGGTGAGAAGAAGCACTTAATATTAAATGACCAAATTTTTTTCCCAAATCATTTCAGTTCTGGGGAAAAAAATAAGCTATCAATATATTTGATTTCTAAAAGCCAAATTTAATAAATTAATAAACATGTGCCAGATAAAAATACAAAATTAGAACTGAAAACCAGTAATAATTTAACAGAAAATGCTCTGTGTTGTACATCTTTTATTGGTAGGGATAACTTATTAAAGATAACAAGTCTGAAACACATTTTGCTTTTGCCAGAAAGAAAGTACTAAGTTAGTACTATGTAGAGGAGAACTATGAGAAGCCAGAAATGAACCTTTGTGAAAAGGCATGTGCCATGGTCTACGGGAATGCAACAGGCAGAGGTGCTGTTCTCTCCACTCGTGTGTGCATGTTTGTACAAGCATCACACACCCAGGACACAGACCCCGACGCAGTCACGATAGGCTTACTGTGTGAAACATGCGGGGTTACGACCACAGGCTACCCGGGATGAAGAGGCCGTGCAGGTGCAGGTTTGCTGTTTCCTGGGCATGGGGTTTCGCTGCCAGACAGGGGGCTAATCATGCAATAGCTGGAGTTTCTCTGGACATGATAAACACCCAGGCTTACTAGAACTGGAAAGCGCGTGTTCACTGTTTTACAAGGACAGCTGAGCAGTGCTACGAAAACAACAGAAAGTTCCTTCATTTCCATCTGGTTATATGCCCCAACCTCTAACCAAGAAGCAATTCAGCTACAGGAGCCAATTAAGTTACTGTAAAACATTCCTTCATCTGTAAAGCATCTCTTTTCCCCTCAAATTAAAAGCTTAAAATAAAATGTCTTCATTTTTGATCAGCAGCTCCACCACCAGTCTCTGATACCGGATATCATTCAAGGCGGCCATTGCGTCCAGCTCGGGAGACCTCATGAGGGTTGGGCCAAAAACGATTCCAAGGTTCTCTGCATTCATGAGATTCTCCTTTTCGTGCAGGGTGACTCTGAAAAATACAAGTAAAGCATCACATGGCTTCCTGTCAGCCACGGGGGTCCTCGCTGTGCCCGAGACCGAGACGGAACCCAGAGGCGCCAGCTTCCCACGGAGCAGCGCCTCTCTGCTCCGCCATTGCTCCCTACCTCCCCAGAGGTTCGAAGCCCTGACTTTGTTTAGCGCTGAATATCCAGGATGCCAGGGTTCCTGGGCTGCGCTGTAGGGCCAGGGAAGGGACGGGGCGCCTGGGTTAGCCCATCACCCTCCCCACCCCGTGGCCGCCTCGCTTCCTCTGCGGTTGTCTGTGCCTGTTGAACAATTTATTGAGCGTCCAGGGACAGAGCAGTGGTGACAAAAAATATTGGGGAGTAATGTTCATGTCCTTTCTACTGCTGCAGCAACAGCAGAGAATGCGACTGGAGAGTTATTTGTTCTGGTTGGACCACTGACATGCAAATATGAAGCAAACTTGAACTTACAAGTGAGGCTGATGCATATTAAGCAAGGGCTGTGCTCATGGTGCTTTTAACATGGGAAAATGTAAACAACCGTGAATGACTCGAGTACGTTTCTGGTAAGTCATGCCTTCGGGCGTATCAAACTTTGTTTCTGATTGGTTTTCTATTTCGAAACCCAAAAACCTGTAAGACTTGGTCACATAATTCCCCAAACTGTGCCTCACTTGGTAGAGACTGAGGGTGACTGAGCAGGGAAATAAAGCTCTGTCCCCATCCATCACTTTAAACACCAAAACTACAGTGTCTCGCTGCCCGTCCTCCCTCGACCCCTTATTTCACCACTTTTTATGCCGGCTTTCGGTGCTGGCAACATTAACTCCGTAATCTAAAACTCCTCAGCAAGCCTGGAGGGCTGCTGTGAGCAGGAGGAGGAGACGTGAGCGCTCCTGCCAGCTGCCGTGCTCTGGCTTTGACGCGAGTGTCTGTACTGCCACAAGCCTTCCTCTTGCACAGAAATCAACGCGCGGCCGTGGCGCGACACTGGTACTCCTCACATATCTGCCAATGACGTCTGTGCCAGAGTCGGCTCTGCACTCGCAGCACAGGACAGGTGACTTCTAGTGTTCTTCCTGGCGAGTGCAGGGTCGCACGAGACGGCAGTACAGCCGGCCGTTTACCCATTCCCTCGATGGATGGCTTTGCCTTCCCTGCACCTCAAGGTCTACAGGCAACGGGCGTGTGAGGCACCCAGTCTGTAACTTGCCTCTTCAGGTGCGCCATGAGGTAGCGGAGGGTTTCGCAGTGAGCCGGCGGCAGTAGTTTCAGGGCTTCGTGAAGGGTTTCCAATTGCTCGTCGGGATCCATGATTTCTGAAAGGGCAAGTGGAACACTTTTACAGAGAGCAGGCGCAACGGTCCAGCGAACTCTGCTCTGTGGTGACCTAAAGTGGATCCTAAATGCTGCCTCACAGATCTCTGCCCAAGCTTTAGGAAAATATCCAAGGGCCTAGTCCCAGGTTTCTAAAGGCTCCTGGCTCAAGGCAGCAACAGTAGGCTTGTCTCGCTGTCCCGTGGAAAGCAGACATGGGCTTGTATTTAGGATGTGACTATGAAAACAGCCGGGCATGTGTGGACACGGAGAACTCGCACATTCAAATAAGCTCTCTTCAGAACGCCACAGGCGTGTGTGTGTTCAAGTGCTAGAAAATCCCCTCCCAGTGATGGCATGCACGCCAAGCCGCCAGTGGCCCTGTGACTCCTAAGTCTTATTCATGGATACTCATGTAGTTTTTTTGAAGACTTATATGAAAGGCAAAGTTAGAGGGAGAGAATGTTTTATATATACATATATATAATCTTTCTAGACCAAGAAATATCATCCAATGTTTGAGACTCGGCCCTAAGTCACTTGGTGTTGCATATAAAAATGAGATTTACCCTCAAGGCACACACGTTTTCTATGAGGATGTTCAGAAGAACGCGCTGTGACTTTGAGGGTGATTCCGAGCGCTGTGCGTAGCAGCGGGCTCCCTGAGACAGCTGACTTGGGCAGGTGTAAGCTTTGAAGGGGGCTGTCTTCACTTAGATATTCAAGTTCTGCTGTGTTAGCCACAAAGCAACCCACTAACCCCAGCATGTACCTTCAGGACACAGACCACGCTCGGCTTACCTGTCACTTCAAAGTCAAACAGGCATCTTTGGAATTCTGTGCTTTCTAAGGAGCACTTCTACCCAAATGTTGGGAGATGGGGGGAGTCTTGGGACAGCCATGGGGGACCCCATACTGCTGAACCCTAACCGGGAGAGCAGCCCTCTAAGGTTGAGAAGGTACCATCTGGCCAGAATGTAACACTCAAGACAAAGGCCCTAGTCTTCCCCAAGGTACAGAGCAAACCAACTGGATGGCAGTGCTCTGGATCGGGCGGAACCTGGCATCGGATGAAAGGGCCATGTTTCCAGCGCAGGCAGGAGAGATTTGCTAAATTTCAGGATGTGAACAGTGACGGAAGCTTTTCACTTCAAAGAAACCGATTCTACACTTTTCCGTGAAAAGCTGCTGCTCGGCTCCTGGCTCACTTCTTTATAATGAGGACCCCGTTATCTGCCTTTTTCCGTAATGAATCCCGATGTGGGCTTTAAACCTTGGGGCCTCTGAAGAGTGCCCGCGGACGACGGCAGGGTACCAGCTCAGATGCTGAAGCTCAAGCCTTTAATTTCTAGAGTTAAGGGAAGAAACTTCCTTTACTATGGAAAACTATTATTTTGTTTTTACCATAAGACTAATTATTTGAAACTATACAATTCTGGAAATTGAAAACAGCAACTTAGTTGCCTTTTAATTTTCACAACTACCCTGTGCAGGCAGAACCTTGAGATGGGGTGAAACAAAGGACAGTGCTGGTGGGCAAGTAAACAAGATTCCCTGCTCACAGAAGCTAGCTTTCTACTGGGAGCACGGTCTGCACTGACGATGACACCTCACTGTACGGTATACTAGAATGAGGCAAGTGCTACGGAACAAACCCAGGTAAGTAGCACTAGAAGTTCTGGGGTTGCAAGTTTCAATGGGGTGGTCAGGACAGAACTGAACGAGGAGCCAGGAGAGAGGGAATGAGTCACGTGGAGCTCTGGGGGCAGAGATGGCCCCAGCAGAGCAACAGCCATGTGAAGAACCTACAGGGAGAGTCTGCCTGTTACACTTGTGGAAAAGTGGGCAGCTAAGTACGGCTGTAGCAGAGGGAGAAGCACTGGGGGGTGGGGGTAGGTAATGGGCTCCCTACCCTGTGAGGGTTTTCTGAACAAAGAACTGTCCCAAACTGACTCCGTTTTCATAGCTACCTCTCCTCTGGCTGCCATGTGGAAAACAGACTATAGAGGGCCAAGAATAAAAGCAGGACAGATCCAGTAACGACTAGAAAAACCCAGTGAGGAATGACAGTAGCATGGATCGGTGGTAGCAAGAAAGGTGAGAAGTTGTTGCGTTCTGGATATATTCTGGAGAGTGCCCGGGACTCACTGCCGAGGGTGGATGAAGAAGAATCAAGAATGAGCCAAGTGTTGGGCTCAGTCCCCGGGGTGATGGGTAACACAGTGGAGGGGGCTCGGAGGGGTGTCCATCTGAGGTGTAAGAGCTCCCAACGAGCCAGCCAACCTGGGTCAGTCTGGTGTTCAGGGAGAGGACATTGAAAAAGACATCTGGACCGCATGATAACATGTATCAAATACACTGTTCTCAAATTAACAGATTCTTCCCTGGAATTTGTTACTCTCTGCCTTCTACCTCCTACAAGTGCTTTTAGTACTCATCACAAGTTTTTTAGAAGGTACAATTCTCCAGACATGAGCAGTCCCAAGCGCACCTGAAGAGGGAGGCAGACTGCAGGGGAAGTGTTTGGAAGTGAAGGGGTATCGCTGGCTGTCAGGTGTGCAAGGCCTGCATGTGGCGGGGTGCTGTTACAGAGGTGAGACACTATCCTGGGCATTGGGAGAAAACAGACACAGGCGAGAACTTCAGCCGGCCTGGCGGGAAATTCCATGGTAGGGAAGACAACACCTGACTAAGAGGGGACTTCAAAAAGTTTGTGAAAATGGAGTTATTTAGTTTGGTGCAAAATTTTTTGAAATCCATGTGTAGTTTTTTCATAACATGCACTTTCCATGAATCCAAATGTATGGATTTCAATTTTTGGGGGGCACCAAGAAAACTTTTCATTCTCTTTTCAACAGACTTGTAGAAGTACCCTTGTACGACCCCCTGGTGTGAGGGAGAGAAGACGTGCAGAGGTGAGGAGGACAGACAGCCCCTGAGGGCCTGGGACATGGGCATCCTGTGGGAGCAGGACACGAGCACCCAGGATCTGGATCCAGGCCTAATTACAAGCTCTTTCTGCTGTAGGCCTTGTTTACCTCTTTAGGGAGAACCTTAAATAAAAGAAAAATAAAATTCAGCTAAGCCAAAGGGTGACTCAGTGGCAGATGTGAAGAAAAGATCGGCAAGCTCGCCTTCTCAGACTTTTCTTCTAGAAAGTACACTTTTGGAACGCAGAACCGTAGGTTTTACATGCGTTTATCTGCTTCTGTCAAGGTTGCGCACTCATGGGGCCCTGTGGCTTTTCTAAGGTCTCCTAAGAAGACTGTGCAGGCTGCTTGGCCAGGGCAGATCTGCTACGCTTGGTCCCACCAGGGGCTCTGTGTGGCAGAGCTGTTCCCACTATGGCTGGGTGACTGGGCAGGGCTGGCTGAAAGCTGTCTTCTGGCCCCTGTGTTTTGGGCAGCAATGTCTCAACTGTGGCGAGAGGGTGCAAGGAAGAAGGGCTGGGCACGCCCAGACTTCAAGATGGGCTCCTCAGGGCTTCTGCAGGGCTTAGGAAGATGGCCCAGGCCTTAAGGGGGATTCCCTGGCCTCTTCCCCATTGTGTTCCTTTCTCATTTCTTACAGCCACTTCCACCCAGCTTCCAGCTTCCCAGGCATATGCAGGGTCCTCAAAAAGTTTGTGGAAAATGTGTATTATGAAAGAAAAAAATGCATGGGCTTTAAGAAGTTTTTGCACTACAAGCAGCTTCTCCTGGAATTCCAACCTCGCAAACTTCCCGGTGCCTCCTCACAGTCCGGTCTCCTCTCCTACACTGGAACCCCCTCGGGCCCCCAAGGGAGGCGCCACAGCAGAGCTCTGGCAGCTCTTACAAAAGGGAGCTTTAACACAAACTGCCTTCTTATTGGCAAAGGCTGGTAATAAGTACCAGAGACTTTTTAGGAACTGACAAAAGAAAAAACTAACTTAAAAACTGAATTGGGAAGGGGTCCCCTCCTGTGCACGCCTTTTGTTCCCTGCTCCCTCACATGAGCTAGGTCGTGAGACAGAGTGGAGAGAGCAATGGATTTGACCTTAGGCAGATGTGGGTTTGAACGCCAGGGCCACCTCCTCTAGGGACAAGACTCTGCTCAGTTCACCTATGTTCTACACCATCTTTGAGTGGCAGCATGCTTGTAAAGTGCCTGGTGTGGCTTGCAGCACCTTGTACATAAACATAAGCTACTTTCCTCTTCCTTGTCTGTCCTTTCGGATGGCTGTATAAAAGACTACTGCTGGAAACACTACGTACAAGGACCACAAACGATGCTATCATGCCAAACACACAGCACATGTGAATGTCAGGGTTAAGCGGTTGGGGCCTCTGGGTCACAAATCACACGTCAAAATAGTTACACTGGGGCCTGCACCCGCGTGGCTCCTGGCTTCAGATTGGTGCAGCTCCAGCCATTGCGGCCAGTTAGGGAATGAACCAGCAGATGGAGGACCTCTCTCCTATACTGCTCTCAAAACAGATTTTAAAACTTTGAGATATACTGTCTAGTTGCACTGTTATCTTTTTAAAGGGGTCAGAGCAAAGTGTGACCACAGCAGCCCCTTGCAAAGGCAGTGTGTGCCAAGCGCTTTCCAGGTGAGTGGCGGTCACACTGATGCCGTCTGGGGAGGCCACACCTGCCCTGTAAGGCGACGGCGTGGAAGCTCTCGGCCAGCTTTTATGATTGCAGAGGCCGTCGTGAGATGAGAGGAGTTATGCTCCTGTGGGAGAGACCTAGACTTTCAGGCTCTCAAACTTGTTAAATCATTTGTGCACACAGCATTTTCTAAAAACCAGTGTAATTCTCCCAGCTGTTCTCTCCATGAGACCCTGAGCTGACCTGCAAGAAATCAGGGCTCCATGGAACTAACCACAAAAATTCTCAACCACAGCTCTAAAGAGAAAACTGAAAGTCGGAACAAAGAATTTGTACTTGATGAAATTTCAAAGTCAAAAAGTAAAAGCAGTGTTACTAAGGAAGTGATGTAATTATTTAAAGATCAAGACAACATTTGGTTTTAAAGACAGAAAAGCAAAATGACAGAAATAGCCTATCTTTTTTTGAAGAGAAAAGTAAAAACATAATGCCAACACTTAAAATCTGTTTAAGAATTCCCTTCTTTGAAAAATGAAGTGTGAATTACAGGTATAATTCTTGCTGCATAAATCAAATTTGGCAAATAAGCCCTTGCTTTTTCTCATTTTCATCTCAACTAGGAGGAATATGACATTTTGATCTAAAATAGTGCTACTTAAAAGTCGGAGCCACAGGCCAGCGCCAGTGTGTGGACGGCGAGTGGTCTGCATTAACTTAGACACACGCAATACACAGGCCGCAACTGATGACAGGAACGCAGAAACTCCGCAACCTGACAGTTTGTTAAATTGTAACAAAAGCTGATCCTGTACCTTGCCTTTGCCTTTATTTTTCTGGTTATGCACTTTCATTTTATAAAAGTGGTGCTCCACATCTAAAGAGCAGGTGTCAGGTTATTTTGGAAACGGAGTGAGCACACCCTGAAGCTTCAGATGGCAGAAGTTGTGTGGAAACTGCTAGAGAAGAGTGTGAAATGCTTGTGAGAGGACTAACCACGGAGAAAGGGGAGGGGGTGAATTTCATAACGCGTTCAAGACCCAGCAGGAAAAGTGGTGACCTGGGGGAGGGGCCTGGCAGGTTGCTGGGGACCCGTGCGTTGATACTCACTGGCAGACTCTATAAACTTGGGGTAGGCATCGTACGTAATGAGTGGAATTGGTAAGTCCCTGAAGTACAGTTTCAGCGCGCCAGTGATAATGTTGATATCTTCATACATGTTCACGGAAATATCTGCTTTCTCACCATCTTTAAAGGATATTAAAAAACAAAAGTAAGTAGCTGGACTCACAGCAGTTTCTAATAGCTGGTTCATTTTTGTATACAGTCAGACTTTAGAGATTAGCAACGCTTCAATTTGTTAACACCAAATTCAGTGGTTTCATGATACCTACAAGTGGCTAATTTCCTGTTAAATGGCAATGTCTTGTTTTGCATTTTCCATGCTGAAGTTCCTTACCTTCTGCCTACTTAGGGAAGGGAGAGGCTGGGGAGGATGAAGTCAACAAAAATATCTTTCAAATTCCTAGAGCCACTAGAGTTCCTGGGGTGGGGGTGGGGATTTAATGCAGGACTGCATATTCTTCTTTAAAAAGTTTGTGGAAAAATAACAGGCACTTTCACTTGCAAAGCCCCCTGGCACAGGGGGTCCCCTGTGTTTTACCCCAGGCTCTTTCTCTCCACATTTGGATCCTGCTTACGCCCAGGAGGTAGGGGAGGTAGAAAGAAGTAAAAAAGCAAAATAAAACAGGACTCTAGAATGTTGAGGAAAGATTCTACAATGGAGAACTCTGCAGGGGCCAGGCCCTAGGACGCTCAAGCACAGGCGGCCTCCGTCAGGTTTCCCTCGGCACTCCCCTGCATTCAGTACTCCACTTTGTTCACACTCTCAAGTTTTCATCTAACGATTTAGTGTCTACTCAGAGCTAGATCTCATGCTAGTTTTCTTCTATTCTACTTGGCTTGGGAGTTTCTTTTACTCCACTTGGGAGACATTTCTATGGATTAAAAAGTAGTCTCGGGGCCGGCATTGTGGTGTAGCACATAAAGCAGCTACCTGCAGTGCCAGCATCCCTTGTGGACACCGGTTGAAGTCCTGGCTGCTCCACTTCTGATCCAGCTCTCTGCTGTGGCCTGGGAAAGCAGTAAAAGACGGTCCAAGTGCTTGGGCCCCTGCACCCACGTGGGAGACCCAGAAGAAGCTCCTGGCTCCTGGCTTCAGATCAGCCCAGCTCTGGCCTTTGTAGCCATTTGGAGAGTGAAACAGCGGATGGAAAACATTCTCTCTGCCTCTTTATTTCTTTCAAATCTTTAAAAAAAGATTTTATTTATTTGAAAGACAGAGTTAGAGCACGAGTGCAGAACCAGATCTTCCAGGGCTCCCACGTGGATGCAGGGCCCTAAGGACTTTGACCATCCTCTGCTGTTTTCCCAGGCACAACAGCAGGCAGCTGGATTGCAAGTGGAACAGCTGGGACTTGAACAGGTGTTGATTTATATGCCAGCATCGCAACACTGGCCCCCAGATTGACTTTTTTTTTTTTTTTGACAGAGGGGACAGTGAGAGAGAGAGAGAGAGAAAGGTCTTCCTTTTGCCGTTGGTTCACCCTCCAATGGTCGCCACGGCTGGCGCGCTGCGGCCGGCACACCGCGCTGATCCTATGGCAGGAGCCAGGTGCTTCTCCTGGTCTCTCATGGGGTGCAGGGCCCAAGCACTTGGGCCATCCTCCACTGCACTCCCGGGCCACAGCAGAGAGCTGGCCTGGAAGAGGGGCAACCGGGACAGAATCCGGCGCCCCGACCGGGACTAGAACCCGGTGTGCCGGCACCGCAAGGCGGAGGATTAGCCTAGTGAGCCGCGGCGCCGGCCCCCCAGATTGACTTTTTAATGATCTATTTTATTTATTTGAAAGGCAGAGAGGGATCATCTACCCACTGGCTCATTCCCCCAAAGTGGCTGCAATGGCTGGGGGTGGGCCAGGCCAAAGTTAGGAGCTTCATCTGGGTCTCCCAAGTGGGTGCAGGGGCCTAGGTACTTGGGCCATCTTCTACTGATTTCCCAGGTATATTAGCAGGGAGCTGGATTGGAAGTAGAGCAGATGGGATTCAGATTAATTTTTTAAAATTTTCATGTATGAGGGAGAACATGTGGTATTTGCCTTTCTGTGTCTGGCTTATTTCACTTTAATGCTGGTTCCATTCATTTTGCTGAAAATGTCAGAATTTCACTCTTTCATGACAAAAGAATATTTGACCGTGGTGTGTCTGTATGTGTGTACACACACCACGTTTTATCCATTCATCCACTGATGGACACCTAGGTTGATTCAAGTCTTGGCTATTGTGACTACAACATGTAAGTGGAGGTATCCCTTTCACATGCTGATTTCATTTCCTTCCGATACATACCCAGAAGTGGTTTAGCTAGGTCACATGACTGATGTAGTTTTAGTTTTCTGAGAAAGCTTCATACTATTCTCCATTATAGTTGTATTAGTTTGCATTCCCACCAACGAGAGTGTACTTTTTCTCCATATCCAGCATGCCATTGTGTGTGTGTGTGTATAATTTTTTAAAAAAGATTTCTTTCCTTCTTTGAAAGTCAAGAGTTACAGAGAGGGAGAGACACAGGTCCTCCACGTGCTGCTTCACTCCCTAGATGGCTGCAATAGCTGGGGTTAGGCCAGGTGAACCCAGGAGTTAGGAGCTTCTTCCAGGTCTCCCACATGGGTAGTAGAGGTGCAAGCACTTGGGCCATCCTCTGCTGCTTTTCCCAGGCCATTAGCAGAGAGCTGATCAGAAGTGGAGCAGTCAGGACACAACATGGTGCCTGTAGGAAGGGCTGGCATTGTAGGCAGCAGCTTTACCCCTGTGCCCTGCCGTTGTCTTTTTGCTAATGGCCATTCTCACTGGAGTGCATTTGATCTGCATTTTCCTGACGGGCGGGGATACAGTGAGCGCTTCTTTCATGTATTTGTTATCCTTTATATTTCTTTTTATTTTTTAAGTTTTTTTTGGACAGGCAGAGTGGACAGTGAGAGAGAGAGACAGAGAGAAAGGTCTTCCTTTGCCGTTGGTTCACCCTCCAATGGCTGCCGCGGTTGGCGCGCTGCGGCCGGCGCACTGCGTTGATCCGATGGCAGGAGCCAGGTACTTCTCCTGGTCTCCCATGGGGTGCAGGGCCCAAGGACTTGGGCCATCCTCCACTGCACTCCCGGGCCACAGCAGAGAGCTGGCCTGGAAGAGGGGCAACTGGGACAGAATCCGGCGCCCCGACCGGGACTAGAACCTGGGGTGCCGGCGCCGCAAGGTGGAGGATTAGCCTAGTGAGCTGCAGCGCCGGCTTGTCCTTTATATTTCTTTTGAAAAATGTCTACCCAGATCCTTTGCCCATTTCTTAACTGGATTGTTCTTTTGTTCTTGAGTTTTTTGAGTTCCTTATGTATTCTGGATTAATCCTTTGTCAAGTGAATATTTTGCAAGTATTTTCTTCAATTCTGTTGGTTTTCTCTTCACTTTGTTGGCCATTTTCTTCTGTGTAAGTTTTTAGTTTGATATCATCCTATTTGTTTCTCCTTTTCCTGTCTGTGTTTTTTGGGGTCTTATCCATTAAATCACTGCTTGTGTCAATGTCTTTAAGTATTCCCCCTATCTTTTCTTCTAGTACTTGCCTAGATTCAGGCCTTACCTTTTAATCTTTCCTCTATTTTGAGCTGATTTTTGTGTGTCTATTAAAAAAAGCCTCATTTCGCTGATTTCTTTGTATTTTTTTGTCTCTGTTTCCTTTACTCTGGTCCTTACTTTTTTTCCCCTTCTACTACATTTGGGTTTGGTTTTTGTTTTTTCTAAGTCCTCAAGATGCATTGCTAGGTTGAGTTTTTCATATCTAAGATGCCTGTTCCTTTTGAAGATCTCCATCTCTGCTGAATTTCTGATTCACATCATGCAATGATTTCCTAACTTTATTTAATTACTTGTATTCTCTTGTATCTCTTTGAGTATCCTTATAGTCATTCTATATATATATATATTTAAATTAAAAAAATTATTTGAAAGGCAGAGTTACAGAGCAGCAGAGGCAGAAGTGGAGAGAGAAAAGGTCTTCCATCTGTTTCACTCCTCAAATAGCTGCAATGGTCAGAGCTGTGCCGATTCAAAGCCAGGAGCCAAGAGCTTCTTTTGGGTCTTCTAAGCGAGTGTGGGGGCCCAAGGTCTTGGGTCATCTTTTGCTGATTTCTCAAGACATTAGCAGGGAGCTGGATGGGAAGTGGAGCAGCTGGGACTCAAACCAGCACCCATATGGGATGCTGGTACTGTAGGCAGCAGCTTTACCTGCTACGCCACAGCACCAGCCCCTGTAGTCACTCTTTGAACATGAGGCATTATGCCAATCTCCTTTTCTTTGGTGTCCGACACTAAAGCATTATGTTTTCCTTCTGAGGTATCACGGTGCCTTGCTTTTTCATACTTCTTGTGTCCCTATGTTAATATGTGGGCATTTGGTAGATCAGTTCTATCATTTTTGAAGGGCAGCTTTTGCAGATTGAAGGCTTTTTCCTGATGATGCATCCTTGGCTTTTGAATTGCAGGCTGCTTTGGTTTTAGCTTTAGTTGGACGTTGAGGTGCAGTTTCTCTATATCTTCTTCCACTATCATCAGTGGCAGTGGGAGCAGAGGCTTGTATTCTTCTCAGTCTCAGTAGCGGTGTGTGGGTCCCGGTGGTTGTGGGGCAGGTTTGTGCAGCTGCGTGTGTCCATCCAAGTCAGGGTGGACTCTGAGAGCCTCTGTGAGGCCAGGCCCATGTCCAGGGTAGCCATACACACCTTTCTGAAGGGGTCTGAAGAGACAGCTCCAGATCTGGAGGCGAGCTTCTAAGGTCCCGGGAGCATCCCAGGTCTCTCTGGCCTATCGGCGTTCCTGTGCTGCCCATGCTGAGTTCCAGCATTTTCCCTTGGGCACTCCCCATGAGATGCAATTACTGTTATTCTGGTTCTTTCCCATAGAAAAGGAAATGAATGTTGGACACCGCTCTTCAGCCTTCTTGGGGAACCTCCTGATTATTTCTTTCAGCTCTTGACTGAGTCTCTCCTGGGATAAGGCTCCAAGGGCCTTCATTGGCTTTGACCGTGAACCCTTCACCATGTCCACCACATAAATACTTGGGCAAAGGTATGATGGCATCTGCCGATGTTGGGCTTGTTAGTTCTCTATTCAGTGACTACCTCCTCTAAGCTAGAGAAGAATTCCCCAGAGTTACTCTTTTCACCCTGACACTGGAATTCTAGCATTCCGTGGATCCTGTCTTCCTTCTTGGATTTCATTAATTGAAGGTTATGGCTCCCAGAGATGATCACTCTTAATTCCTTCAAATTTGCTTTGCTCTGTTTATCTGATAATCTGAATATGCATGGACTTGGGCAGAAGTGATGTAAACGATCAGAGCCATTGGCTTCCTTCACACTCTTGTTAATGTTCTTTATATCATTCTTACAGATGACTGCTGGAACACAGCCCTGTGGGATGTCAAAGATTGGTTCCAGAAAGCGTGGTGACATGGAGCAAAGGGGAGTTCTTAAGAAATTCAAGTCTCAGCTGTGTTTTCAGGGCACCAAAATGTTGTGTTGTGCCTTTTTTTTTTTTCTTTTTTCTTTCTTTCTTTCTTTCTTTTTTTTTTTTTTAAATGAAGGGAAACTGTGACATTTATTTGCTTTCTGAGGTCCCTGGGAGCATTCATTTTCCTTAACATTGTTGACTTACTATTGAGAATCATGGCCAGAGGCTGGGAAACGATGTGTTCAGTTCCTGCCTTCCAGAGAGGGATGCCTCCCTGACATCCCGTTTGGCATGGATTCAGAACTGCTCTTCTTGAGACTTATCTGGACCTAGCACACTATTAGTTCACCATATCTTTGCTCCCATCAAATACCTGGGCTGGCCTAGATTTTTCTTAGGTCAGGTTGGTGAAATGTTTTTGCCTTCTGCCTGTAAGAGGTTCGTGAATGGGAGAGGAGTGTGCTGGAACTAGAAATACAGACTTGGAAAACAGGAGGATCACTACTAACTCACTTTCTGTAGTCAAAACTATAGCTCTTCTTTGATACCACCTTAATCTTGTACTTAAAGCCTAAAGACAGTAGAGAACCATGGAAACAAATCCTAATTTAAATGTTAAAAAAAAAAAAAAGGAAGCCCACTGAGCTTTTCTCCTTCCACAGTGGGACAGGTCCTGAGCTGGGGGGTTCTCAGCATCTCTCGGCTTTCTGGCCCCGTCATCTCAGTCATGACTTGGTTCTCAGCACAGCTGCAGATGGCGACGAGGCTGCCTGGGAGCATGAGGACAGCAGAGCTGGGCTGGCGAACTCCAGCCTGGGAAACCCGAGACCTGGAGTGTTCAGAGTCCACCCCCTCTCTCCTTTCCTCCATGATTTTTGGTAAGTGGCATTGCTCTTTACGTCTTTTGGCAAAGGAACCAAACTTGGATACTCAAATATGGTTAAATTTTATGCTTTTTTTCCTCATTCTTAAACTTGACAGCTTAATACTTTAACACAAAAATAAGAAATTGTAAGTCTTTTTATTTGGTATAATAATCATCAGTAATGCAAAAATAACGTAAGACTTTTTGGCAAAGAGCATCCCGGACTTAATTAACCAACATGTGGAAGAATATACCTCGGTCAAAAGCCATCTTGACATCTTCAATTAGGTCACTAAATCCTGACACTCGGTACAGTCCTTCAGAATTAAGACCTGGAAGAACAGAGCATGGCAGCAAATTGGTTTCTTTGGAATTATCCCTTTTCTTTAAATTTTAACTTATTCCCACACTTCAGGCTTGAGAGGTAATGTGTCAGAAAGATTGAGAAAATGTGCATGCTTCTACCTTTTCACACTTTTTCCTAAAATAAAACCATTTCACTCACAGTTCTTTAATTCTCACCTAATGTCACCTGAATATTTATAAATTGGCTTATTCTGTCTAATTAGATCAAATATGTAAAGCCTTACGGGAAACAGCTCATCACCCCAATTACACCATAAATTCTTTACGTAACAGATGACTAAGATAAGCTATATTAATAGGTTGCAGCAGTTTTTCCCAAGAGAGAAAGAATAATTAGGCACAGCTCTGGCTCTGGCATTGGAGAGCTTTCACAGCATTCATCCTAGCTTCCTGGACCCAAGGAAAACAGAAAAACTGAGAAATGCACTCAACTCTACATGTCAGCTTCTGCAGACTGGAAGCACCAGCTACAAATATATCTTTAAGCATATTTTCTGCAACTGGTTTAATCTGCCTCAAAAACAAGCAGCTTACGTGTTAATTCATTTGACTTGAGATCATTTGACATCTGAAGCCATTTTCCCCAAAAGTGCAGAAAAGAGTCAAGCGTGTAGTGCAGTGAGGCCCCCAGGGAGGCATCGGGACTTGTAAGGGTGCCGCGGCTGCGCTGCAGGGCCTCACCTCTGGCTTCGATCTCCCTGATGCACATGTCCACCACCATTGGCCGCGTGGTGATGTGTGCTTTCACGAGCGTTGTCAGGTCACAGCTGTACACTTTCTTCACGTGCTTCAAGTCTGGCTTACAGTCATTGGGGACCATCTTGGAACACTGCTTATGAACATTCAAACCACAATCTACGCAAAGAATGAAGAAAGGAAACATTTCTTTCAGGGTTTTGAGCATTCTGAGTGTTTACTTTGCAGCTCAACTTAGGTTTTCAGTAGATTAGCCTCCAGTAGTTCCTTCAGGGTAGAGAGACAACATTCCCATTTTTTCTCTTGGAAAATTTCAGTTATCAGCTAGGAGACCAGAATTCTAGCTTATTCATCGTTTTCCTTGCTGTGTGATGACCTCAGTAGAATACCACCCCTCAAAGTGCTTACAAAACATAGTATTATGCCAAATAGCCAGTTCTATGGTTTGATATGCTTGTCCTCTCCAAAATTCATGTGTTAGAAACTTGATTCCCAAGACAGCAGTGCTGGGAGGTGCTTAGGTGTCGAGAGCTCTGCCGCTACACACAGGGCTCGCGGAAGTGGCTCCCTTCTCCTCTGCCTCGGGAGGATGCGGCAGGAAGCCGCGCCACACACTGCCACCTTGATCCTGGACTTCTCAGACCCCAGGACTGTGAAGAATACATCTATGTTCCCTATAAACTACCCAGTCCGTGGAATTTGTTCTAACAGCACAAAATAGACTAAGATGGCTAACTAAAAATCAGTTTCCTTAAAGTTACATAGAAATTGTATTTAATGTGAGAATTAATATATTTGATATGAAGTAGCAGAATTGGACCTCCAAAAGTAAGAGTATTCAAGGGCTTTTTAAAGATCTATTTAAAGGCAGAGTTACAGAGAGGCAGAGAGAAGTCTTGCATCTGCTGGTTCCCTCCCCAACTGGCTGCAACGGCCGGAGTTGTGTAGATCCAAAGTTGGGACCCAGGAGCTTCTTCTGGGTCTCCCACGAGGTGCAGGGGCCCAAGGCCTTGGGCCATCTTCCACTGCTTTCCCAGGCCATAGCAGAGAGCTGGATCGGAAGAGGAGCAGCCAGAACTTGAACTGGTGCCCACATGGATGCAGGCACTGCAGGCGGCAGCTTTACCCGCTATGTCACAGCGCCGGCCTCTCCAAGGCCTTTTTAAAGCTTTGCTGCTCCTATTTAGATCTACTTAAAATCCTTTCTATATATAACTAATACATAATTCATCCAATAGCCCAAAATTATTGTTTCTTCCTACTATCCCCATTTAATAAGGGCTTACTAGTATTGGGCACTTTTCAAGGGCTATACATTTATTATTGCATTTAAACTGACAAAGTTCTATGAAACGGGTACCTCAGAGTACCAACTATACTTTTACCCCATGTACAAAGCAGAGATGGGATTTAAGCATTGGGACGATTCTATATTGCTTCTATTCAGTTTATTTGCTTTGTAGTTTTGCTAGGTTATAAATTTTAAGAAGCCAGAACCCAAACATCTTTTAGTTATTACTATTTTGAATCTCTATTTTCCCCATTAAGAAGCACCACAAATTTTGGAAGGAATAAAGAATACAAATATTTTGTTAAATTATACTAGAGACTAAAGAAAAATCATAACTGAATAAACAGTTCTACTAAAATAAATGTAATCTTTGTTTTTAAAAGCATAACCTGGGGCTGGTGCTGTGGCATAATAGGTTAATCCTCTGCCTGCAGCACCAGCATCCCATATGGGAGCCTGTTCTAGTCCCAGCTGCTCCTCTTCTGATCCAGCTCTCTGCCATGGCCTGGTAAAGCAGTGGAAGATGGCCCAAGAACTTTGGCCCCTGCACCCACATGGGAGACCTGGAACAAGTTCCTGGCTTCAGATTGGCTCAGCTCCGGCTTTTGGGCCATTTGGGGAGTGAATCAGTGGATGGAAGACCTTTCTGTCTTCCTCTCACTATCTGTAACTCTCCCTCTCAAATAAATAAAATCTAAAAACAAACAAAATATAACCTATTTGTTTTTAAGTTCAAGAAACCCTGATGTTGACCTCTTGCAAATCCAGTCCAAGTGGAATGTGCAATTTATATAAGGCCAGGTCTTAATGAAATCCCAGTGAAAATCCTCAGTAACATGGTTATCGAGGGATCTGTGAGCAAGCTTCAGTTTATCCTTGTGGTTCTGGCAGAAAGGAGGGCGTCCTATCCACCTCTCAGAACTGTTATGATAATGAATGAGCTGATGCATTCAGGGGATTTGCATGTTGCAAACTGCTAGACAAAAGCTGGCGATCATCATCCCTCATCCATCCATCATCGTAATTATGACCTTTGGTAAAACTTACTAGCTGCAATTTAGTTACAAAGGGTAGTAACAAGACAGAGAAAGGCAAAATTAGCCAGCATATAAGTGGAATCTTTCCTTCGGTCAGCGGCTAGATACTGCCAACCTGAAATTAGAACGTAAAGCCTGTGGTGACTCTAAGGGAGAAATTCCTATGTACTTGGCACCATCCATGTGCAAAGACAGCCCAAGTACAGAGGAAAGAGCTGTCTTTGCACATGAGTGTGCAAGTGAACACACTGGAGATGGCCTCATCCATGCTGACAGTGTCCAAACATCATCACCACTTAAGAACAACAACTTCTTTGAACCAAAAAAGGCTTCCAGGGCAAGAGCTCAATCTCTGCTGTCTGAGGAAATGGCCCGATGCTATTGATGCTATTTCTTGATGGCTATATTGTGTCCAAAACAAAACTCAAATTCCTCTTGACACCTGTAGTAAAGATTTCCAATCTAATCACAAGGCAAATCAATGGCAAAATGTTCACTTCAAAGAGATTTTAATGTCTTGGATAATTTCTACAACTGAAGGATTCAGCCTAGAATCTCTGAGCTGTGATTTTTAGTTTCCTGTGCCACAGTTATGCAAAGCAGAAATGTTTATCAGGGTTCACGTGAAGCTTAAGTGTTAAATATGTAAAATGCTCACACACAGTAAACTGTTTACCAAGACTATGTTGTTGTTATTTAGAAGAATGAAACAATGTTCTGAGAGACCTTTTTGATGGAGTATGCCAGGGCTCGTTATACGCTATTGCCATAATCGGCTTCAGGTCAGAGTCTATGAACTCTGTGTGTGAGGCTGATGTGAATGCGGCCCTGGAAAGGACCTGTAGAAACAGAGCATCAGAGACTTCCATATCTACACTGTCCCTGATGCATTCAGTTTATAAACAAATATCCCCAACCACGAGGAAGACGCCACTCCTCTCTGACTGCTTTCAGGACATTTGAGGGGTTTTCACTCTCATACTCTCCAGCCCCTTCTGAGGTCCCCGCAATGCAAGTATTAAATCTTCTGCTATTGTCTCACAGTTCTCTGAGGCTTAGTTCACTTTTAAAAATTATTTTCTCTTGCTTGTCCAAATTGGCTAACTTTTACAGATCTCTGTAAGTTCATCCATTTCTTCCTCTGTTGTCTCCAGTCTGCTACGGAGCCTGCCAGTTCTAAAACTCCCCTTTGGTTCTTTTTTAAACCATATTTTCTATTTTTTTCTGTTGGTTCAATTGTGTTCACATTAGCTTGCTGGAATATTTTTATATGGTATTGTTTTTCTCGTCTGGTAATTCCAACATCTGTATCATCTTGATGTTTGTCAGCTGCCTTTTTCCATTTGAGATTTTCCTGGTTTGGTATGAGTAATTCTGACCTGTATCTTGGATATTTTGAGTGTTTTAAGACTACGGGTCCTATTTAAATCTCGGATTTTAGCTTGTTGAGATTTAGGACACCATGGCCTGGCTCACTTTCGTAGACTGTGGCTCAAATGTCAACCTAGTTTACAAAGCCTTTGTTTTGCTCTCACAGTGCTATTTTGCTGGCCTCATACATTACCCAGATGGCAGGACTCTAACCCCGCCCCTTCGCCCCGTTCTCCAGGGTGCTGGGTGGGAAGGAGATGGCTACTGCCTAGATATTGCAGGTAGGCTGGAAGTCTGGGCTGTGTCCACAAACTTGGGGAGAAACACTGTTTTGCATGTAACAGCAGGGGAAGCATGGAAAACAGTTCTGATTATAGTTTCAGCTGCCTCATTAATGCAAATCAGGGATGAAAATAGGGCTCCGCTCACAGTCTTGGGCTGAGAGGGTGCTGCTGCTACCACAGGGTGGAGATAAAAGGATCCTACCCATGGACTTGGCCAAAGAGGGGTGGTACTTTCTCCTGCAAGGTAGGGTTGGAAGCCATGGGCTCTGCCCACAGATTCACAGGAGAGGAGTTAAACCCTTGCTTGATATTGCAGGGTGGGAGTGAAAAACAGGCTGCACCCACCGACTGCTTTAGCAGCATCCGCTGAGAAGGGGTAGGGATGTGGCCTTTTTCATGGTGTTTACCTGCAGCACAGCAGGCATGGCTCAAAGTTCCCATCCTGCTGGCTGCCCTTTCCTCAGGGCTTAAGCTAGGAAAAGCAGGCTTTTTGGGGATTATTTCTTGTCTGCCTGTTGGGTTTTAGGAGTTGTAGCCTTCTATAGTGCTCAGACTGGGATATACAGGAGGTAAACACACACATACACACACCCCAGAAGGAATGTCACAGCTGGGCTGTTCCTCTAGTGCTGAGGTCCCTGTGTGCCTTTCTCTTCTCTGACTTTGAAGTTTTTCTTCCAGGGTCTTCTATTAACAATTATCGGGAAGAATAAAGTGAAGCATGTTTACACATTTGGTCTGGAACTGGAAGACTCCTTACATAGTGTTTTAAAAGTATGTAATTTAGCCAAGCTTCATAATCTAGGAACAGTGATGATGTGCCTCTTTCTTTAAATGTGTACACACAGGTCACAGACTCAGCTGGAAAGCCCTCTTGGTAACAACCAATCATTTCACACATGCACACAGTGGCACAGAGCAGTGAAATGATTCCTTCAAGTTCTTTAGCCAGGAAGTGGCAGGGCTGAGACTGACCGGATCCTGGATTGCTAATTCCCAGCCTGCTCCCTGAGTCATACACCCTGCTTTTCACCAGGGGTACAATGTATACCCTGAGGGCTTTTTTTGTCATTGAAGATTAATTTTCTCTTTTCAGTCTTTCAATAATGTATATTATAACTTTCATAACTTACATACACTTGAGTTTTAAAAACACTGTTGCATTTTACCCAAATG